TTAGCTCACTCTATGACCAAGAAAAGCCTATTTCAGCAAATTCCTTTCCATTCACCGCGGGCACATACAAAGAATGAGAAGGGAATAAGTATTACCCGAGGTTCCCATTAAAAGCCAATTATGCTTAAAGCTAAAAATTTACTTTTGCATGGAATTTATTAAAAGAAAATTTGATATAATTGCAATGGAAAGTGCACCTGTGCTAATGGAGCAAACTATATATTACAAATCAAAAGAAAGAAAGCAATGCAGTTTGTTTTTATTAACATCGAAAGGTTTTTTTGTGTATTTAGTAAAAGTAAAATGTTATTTTTTCTTTTTTTTTTTTTTACTAAAAAGGGGTTTTTCTTCGGCTAATGGCCAGTTACAGACAATGTTAGAGATATGATGTATTGGACCTAGAATCCAATATTCTTTTATGTTTGTATTTTTGATCTGCCAGCAGTACAGACAAGGTTAATTATGTTCACATTAACCTGCCCAGCCCCCCTGTGTTCCAGAGCAAAATTCAGTACATTGAACAGCTTTCATTTCAGAATAGAGTATGTATTGTGCAAGCAGCAATTAAAAAAAATAATTATGTTATGTGAATAAGAAACATGTAGCAAATATAAAAAAGGTATTATTCCAATTTTGGTGCAAAAGTGGAAACACGCTTTAAGGGGCTAACATTTAAACTTCCTATGGTCCTCGAGTCCATCTGGTGGTGGTAATGCCATGCAAACGAAATTTACCCATCATAAAGCTTTATACATCGGCCTCTTAGGGGGGCCTGTCCTGGAGATGCAACAAGAAAAGAAAGAAAATCTCACCAGTGAGGGGAATTCCCATCTTAGAAAGTTGTCCCTATTAGATGATTTACCCCCATCTCTTGCTCCAGTGACAATTCAAATTTGGATTACCCATCACTTACTCCTCATTTCTTAAGATACGGGTAAACAACGCGATTTAACAGCCTTTGAACGTGGGATCATTGTTGGCGCTCGGAGCCATGGAGCGAGTATCAGCAAAACAGCAGAATTAGTTAAATGTTCAAGAGCAGCTGTTGTTAAAGTGTTTAAAGACTTGACTGTCAGCCGAAAATCTGGGTCTGAACGTGCGAATTGTGGCCGTCAGCGACTAGTCAATGTTAGGGCAGAACGGAGAGTGGCAAGACTGGTACAAGACAACAGAAGGGCAACATTGCAGTGTCAGATTCCTCGCATCACCTTTCAACATCTTGTGGAGTCACGAGGCAGCCCAATAAAGTCATCTTGTGGAGTCATTTCGTGGCCCAACAAAGTACTGATGGGGTGGTCATAATAATCTTGCCACTCAGTGTATATATATATAATTTGGAAGTATACTTTAACAACTTTTAATTTAAACCCAACCTCCAAATTTCAACCCATACAGATGTGCCTTATGGCAATGTTAGGAAGAAGGAAGATAGGTCATGGAAATTTAACATGATGTTCACGAAAACAGCCAGTTTTCGTGAACATCACGAAGACTGCTTCTTCCTCCACCTAACCAAACGGCATGGAGATTGCACATCAACAGCACTGAGGGCTATTACAGAACCAAATACAATCAGGTAAATACAAGTGTTTTATTTTCTCTGCCCAGAACAATGAAACACATTGAGGGGAATTTATCAAAACTGGTGCAGACCAAATCTGGAGCAGCTATGCATGGCAACCAATCAGCTTATCATTTTCAAATCTTAACTGAACAAACTGAAGAGAGAAGCTGATTGGTTGCCATGCACACCTGCTCCAGTTTTGACAAGTTTCCTTCATTGTCTTGCACACCTAGGCGCAAAATACTCAAGTTGCAATTTTAAAAAAGTACACAAGCTTTAGTCAAAACTGAAAAGTAAGGCTTAATTTGCATTGGGAAGAACAGTCTACCTTTTTAGTACTTTGCTGTTTCATCCAGACAGTAGTGTATCACACCAGTATTACCTTTATTTAGATATTTGGGAACACTTTCTGTGATGAAAATGAGGTCCAATGGACCTCCAACTGAGTAAAGACAATAGAAAGTCCTACTGAAACAGTGCCACCCCCACATTGCTCTGAAATTCCCAAGTCAGTGAGAGACACTTAAATTTAAATTTTGTGTGTGTGTGATGGACACATCTCACATAACAACCCCTCCCCCATCACTACAAGAACACAGCTATAGACACAAAGTAGATTAGGAAATGGAATGCATCTGCAGAGCCTTGTCATTGGGGCTAATGCTCTGTCATTATCAAGATTAAGCCTGGAACATTTAATGAAGGCCTATCATATAATAATCATTAAAACATTCCATGGTCTGGTGTTTTTGCAAATGGCTAATTGGATACCATAAAATACATTAGCAGGATATCTCTTAATCAAGCCTTCTAATAGTCGTTATAAATATTTTAGGCAGAGCAGGAACAAATCTAACTCAAACTGCTCCTAAAGTCTATTCTTCATGAATGTATAGGAGAATACCCAACAATACAAGACCAAACATGACTAGGCTATAATGTACAGGAGGCTAACTGGTCATATTAAATGTCCTAAGAGATTTATACATTCAATGTATATAATGTTAATTATCTTTCATATGCTAATTTCATTCTATTTAACAATGTGTTGTGATTGTATTACTGATTTATTAAGAGATATTGATATAGTTAGAAAAGAGACATTAAAGGAAGGTCCACTAAAATATAATCAAATATGTCAACCCTCCTACCTGCCACCTCAGACTCATAGGGTGGCTATGTCATTTCTGTAAATGCCCGATTCACAGACGACAAAAAAGGGCAGCATCTGGAGCTTGAGCTTCTCAATTTTCCATAGAAACCAGTACCCACTTCCAAGCTTCCTGATTGGCCCGGGAAGCCGGCTTCATGCTGATCAGCTGGAAAGCCGGCTTCCTAGCCAATCAGCATTGAGCCGGCTGTGCGGCCAGCTCCTTGTTGATTGGCTGGGAAGTCGGCTTTCCAGCCATTTAGCATGGAGCCGGCATCCTAGGCAACCAGGAAGCCGGGCAGCATGACATTACATGATTCCTGATTGCTCGGGAAACCGGTTTCATGCCAGTGGAAGCACCGGTATCTGTACTCAGTATCGGTTAATTCCTGAAAGCAAAATACTGGTGCTCGTAACCTAAATACCCTAATTTTAACATTTAACAATATATTGGTTTCTTATATTTAGATCTCTGATTCTAAGCCAGAAAATTCAAGGCTGCTCTGTACCTGGTATGTGTTCATATATATGGCCCAGGAAAGCAAGCGAAGCAACAGTTTCAAGTACTGTATCTCTAACAGCAAGTCATGTAGTAGTGCAGTAAGGAGCACCAGCCATTAACCCGAAATTATAGTCACACAAATAAATTTCTCAACATGCTCAAATATATATTTGTGACTCGTATGCATCATTCCCCTACTAGAACATTCATCATCTGCATAGAAAAGAAGACTGGGGAGTTCCAAAGGTTCATCAGAGGTAAGGCAACCTGTTCTTTTAATCCACTGATTGAGGGATGCCGGGCTGAAGGGTGCTGGCGGGGGCACCCAAGGTGCGAATTTCACACAATGTTTAGCCTACTTTCACACGGGAAGTGTGAGTTTCGATCACCAGGGAATCCGTGCATGGACCCCTGCTAATCGTAGCAGTATCAGCAGCAAAACGTTTTTGTTTTGCTAGAATGGAACAGCTGTCACCCTTGTGGAAAAAAAAAAACGTAACTTATTGGACCCATGTTAGGTCTATGGGAAAGAAGATCTAAGTGGACATGTGTCCATTTACATCAGATTATCCCTGATCCATCATGATCAGGCCCGACAAAAAAAACAAATCTGGAGTCAGGGGTGATTGGATGTAAATGAACGCACATCCATTTAGTTTCGGCTGCCCATAGTTACATTGAGCTTCTGAGCAAGTCCAGCTGAAAAACTAAAAGGTGTACCTGATCGAACGCCTGTCTGAAAGGGGCCTGATAGAAAGGCAGAAATGTTTATCTTTTCTTCAATCATTTTTTCACGTGATCTATGTTCCCTTTTAGTAGAGACCACATGACCAAATGCCGTCTCCAGACATGTGGCTAACACTATAGATAACCCGAAATAACATTTTCTTCAAGAAAGGCAATCTTTTAAGTCTGGGTTCACTTTAAAATGCATGTCAGGGTAAAATAAAAAAAAATATCCAGTATATCTCCGCAATACACGCATAACTGCATATACACACTTATCTGTTTGGGCTGACAACACAATGCCTTGTGTATCATATGGCAAACAAATCACCACTCCCATTCTCAAGCTGACTCCCCATCTGGCAAATGTACCAGGTGCCGGTACTGAGCACGTCCTCTCTCTTAGTATACCGTACAATAACCACATTTCACAGGTCTTCACCAAATGTAAAACATTTTTTCCATTATAACAGACACACTGAAAAGACCCCGGCATAGACTACCCACCTCTACTCGGTCACCCATCAGGCTTAATCATCTATGCCAGGGTCTTGACTCTGTGGCTGTTATCATGGAATATAAGTTTTGCATTTGGTGAAGACCCAGTGTGGTGCAGTTATTATATGAGAAACACAGTGTCTTTGCTGCACTGAAATTCCAACAAGCATTGTTGGCTCTGCCTGCCGGACTACAGGACTCTGCTTATCCCCTGCACCTACACAATATCAAAGGGCTCTTGGAAGATATGGGGGGGTGTCTATGTCAATAGGAACGGAGAACCAAGTAGCTAAGCTAGCAAAAATTTGACAAGTCTGGTGGTAATAAAAGTAGTTCCTTACTATAGGAAACATACATTTCTGGCAACTGATCTAGACGAGAACAGGGAGGTCTGGGGAACATGTGTGTAGTGTCTGGAAATATATTCTAATTTGGACTCTGACAGACTCAGATAAAACACCCTATTTCGAGTCATTCTAGAACTTCAGTATGCCCTAGCATTCTATTCCTTGAGAAAAACAACCTTTAAAGAATGTATTGCGATGTTGTTAATGTGTTACCTCCAGGGCAAGAAAGCCTCCATCGTGAGCGGCGGTCAACTGTGGAGAGGGTTCAAACCATTCGCAGGACTTCCCCAGCAAATTTTTTAAAGTTCTCACAGAGGACACAGTCAGAGAACCGGAGCAACGAGCCAAAATCACAGCGCTGTCCGCCCACCAATTTATGTCCATCAACGCATAATAGGATTCTTTATCTGTTCAAAGACATGAGACATCAATGCATGAAAAGACATAGTAACCACCATATAAACTCAGTAACAGGATAACAAATAGATGCCACATCAAAAACACAGACATCAGGGGGACGTACAATAAGCTATGGGTGTCTGCGCACTGGCTTGTACGACTCCTTCTGCAGCCAATTAACGACAAATCTCAATGCATTCGGCGCAGTTAGAGGGATTTCACTGTTTACTAATGCCGCACTTAATCTACACAAAGGAGTACAGACAAAGGACCATGGGAGATTAACTTGAAAGCACAGTGCTGTCTTCTTTAAAAGCCTCCTGTTCCTACCTAATATTATCACAAAAGCACAAATCATAAGGGATGAGCACTATGAAAGGATCAGACAATATCATTTTGTATTTAGTTATTTAAATGTCAGTTTTAATAGCAACTGCTTGTTGCCAAAAAAATTACTGTTGCACAAAGCAGATTTGGTTCATAAGGGCAGTTTTGTGTTTCTAACATTCTTATTTATAATTTTAATTGGACTGTGGAAAGTATTAGATCAACAGCATTATACTCTATCATTCAAAGAGTAAGATAATTCTACCTTTAGTATTTACCGCTACCCACATCCGGGTGTTACCCGCCCCGGCAACCAAAACTGCTTGCTGTTGATACACCACCCTGAGCCAGGTAAATTTCGGACTGTTATCTAATGTGTTGAAATGCTTCTGGATTTACTTATGTCCTTTGCTGTCTTTGCTATATTTAAGCTACTACAGTTTTTATACATTTGTTTCTATTTGTTTTCCCAATAAAACTCTTGTAAACAAAGTCTGAGAGGATAAATTGTTGTGTTAACAATAAAGTCAGATTTGAACTGTCATTTTGAAGTACAGTACATTTGGACAATGATGGGGAAGATTCTTATGGATAGTTCTGGACAAAACAGATGTCTTTAGATAGTGGACTCCCTATATTTTGAGAGCAGTCATGACTAGCTTAGACCTGTGTAAACAGCCCTTTGTTTACATTCAGTCTGTCTGCATTCTCCACTGATGTACAATGTAGTGAACTACAGATTTGATTATCAGGACTGAGAACACATGGATAGACATCATGGATCCCAGTACATTCTGCTTTTACAACTTGCTGGTTGGAAATACATTTAATGGGCCGGGTTTAGTCAAATAAATACCAGACGTCCTTCTTTTAACAGTTTGTTATCTGCTTTGGCAGCGATTACTTGGTTTAGGCCAGCTTCACACCTGGGCGATCCGTGCCCACGTGGCAATCGCAAAGGATACCCTGTGGTCACGGAGTCGCTCACCACCGACGAACACGCTGGCGGTGCTATTATTTTCTAATGGCACCATGGCGGCAATCACTGTCTGCAATTATGCACGGCTGCGCAATCCCAGGACACGCGTCCCAGATCGCTCAGGTCTGCACAGGCCCTAAAGTATACTAAAGTGCATTACAGAGACTTATGTGTATGTCATACACTTAGCTTCTCCCAAATATGCCCCAGTTTTTCCTGTAAAAAATTTCAATAAGGTTATGACTAGGGGTGCACCAATATAAAAATTTAAAAACTGAAACGAAACCGAAATAGAAAAAATTATCAGGCCGAAACCGAAAATGTTTTAAATATTTTATTTATTTTTTTATAAACATTTCTTTATATTTATTCATTTTTTTTTATTAGCTATTTTTTTTTTTTACTTTACTTTTAGGGGCTTCGGGGAAATATCTCTTGGTATATAGCTCTTGGTTCCCGGTTCATATTACCTACAGTACTCATAGAAGGGAGTCTTCAGAGACAGAGCAAGCGCAAAGGCAACAGCTCTAGATCTGAGGAAAACTGTGGCAGAGTCTTCCTATAGCTACATGGAGACAAATCTTAATTGAAGAGGGAAAAAAATAATATTTAATTTGAATTACACTCATCCCCCATGAAAATGTTTTTATTTAAAAAAAATTTAATATATTATTTATTTTATATAAGTTTTTAAAAAAAATTATATTTATTTTTATTTATTCATTTTTTACTTTTACACAGAGTCCTCAATCTCTTTTTCTGTATCCCCTGTTATCAATGAACAGGAATCCTCTATACAGAGTGTTTCTGTTCATTGATAACTTGAGGATATGGTATGTTTACTATAACCACAATTATGAATGAACAGGAGTGGATATAGATCACTTGCCATTCATTCATAGTTGAGGATATATTAACCATACAATATCCTCAATTGTCTACAAACACTCAGCGATCACTGATCATTGAGTGTTTGTACCGCTCTCCTCTCTGACACGCTGTCACAGGAGGCTGACTGAGCGGTGCGAGAGGAGAGCCCAGCCTCCTTTGACAGCGCTGTCTCTGCTCCCACACCGCTCTGCCGCTCTGTGATAGGCGGCCGAGCGGTGTGGGAGGAGAGACACCGGCCGCTCACAGCGCTCTTGTCCCGCAGCGCTCGGCCGGGTGTCGCTTTCTCTTCTCCCCGCTGGGACACAGAGCAGCGTCCAGCGGGGAGGAAAGAAATCACGGATGCGCCGATGTATCGACAGGAAAATTGCACTTTCGGCATTTAGCCAAAAGTGCCATTTTCGGCAGATAAGTTTCGGCGGCCGATATATTGGTGCATCCCTAGTTATGACATTGGTAACCACATCAACCCATCTCCTCCCACATCTCTGCCTACAGGCAGCATCTCTTTAGGTCGTGTGGGAGGGGGCCGGCAATGTGCCTGTCACCCCCTTTTCTGACAGAATGTCCCAGGTTGGGAAAAGCTCTTAGTAACCTGGGATGCTCTGGTCAGCGCCCCGCAGTGCTCGACCCCCCTAGCTTCAGGTAGAAAAAAGTCTAGACTTGTACCCCTATCTGCCTACATACAGCACTCCCATAAAGAAGATTGATTGTAATGAGTTGTCCCAGAACAACAATGTCAGGATCGGAAGATGTATCTAGCACATCCAAGACCTCTATCTCAGCAGCTTAAATGGAAACAGACAGAGGCTGCTACACATTATGGAAAAGAAAGAAAAGAAGGAATATACAAAAAAGAAAGGAAATAAAATTTCTACTGCCAGTAGGAATCAGGTACTTATTTTATTATTTAACCAGTGCTGCAGAAATGACAGTTGGAAGCTAATTGGTTGCTGAGGGCAGTAAGAAATTTTCCCAACAGGACACTTTTTATACACCAGGCCCATTGTAAACTTGGAAGAAAGAGAAATAAAGATTGGAAAACGGTGGGAACACATATATTTTTATTCAAGTAAAAAAAAAAAAAACAACATTTAAAAACTCATGAGCCCCCAAAGTGAGCCTCAGCCCCAAAACAACAATAAATGCTGAAAGCACATTGATGAAGCAATAAATAAACCCCACAAATAACAGGGTTTGTTAACAAAAACAGAACAAGGGAAGGATAAAAAAACAGGGGAAAAAAAGGTGGAAGCGGGACTTGTGAATCCATGTTTGGCATGGAAGAAGCCTATATACAACAAAATCATAAAATCATCACATCCTTCAAAGAATCCAATTTTCTCTCGGGTCAATACAGCTTGGAGAACTTCATTCTAGTGAAAGCCAAAGTACTTAAATTCTAATTTACCTTTCATCTTTTTCCGTTTCTCCACAGAGCTCCTCCAATCAGGGTTGATCTCATCATAGCTGGGCTAAAAGAAAAAGAGAGAGGCGAAGAGAGCCAAATGAAGGAAGGCAGATAATGAAAATGTAACAGCGCTGAACATTTGTGCCATGGCGTATCATTTCAATGAGGCAGACTGGGTCTGCGATGTATCTGATCAAGGCTGAAGTGGATTCTCATTAATGGCTTGTTATTAACTATTTCAGCTGGAGGAAAGCACATGTTACAGATGAGGCCTGGTAATAGACCAGAACATTTGCATTTTTTTCTAGACAACCGCTGATTGCTCAGTAGGGATGCGCCAAAAATGATTTAAGCCGCAAATTACCAGATCAAAATGTACCTCAAATGTCACCATGTGGACTGTGTTGGTAAAAATTTGCTTAAAGTGACACAAACCTCAGGAGTTAAATCTTAAAAATGCATTCAAGTTCCTTAACTATTAACTAAAATGTATCTTATTTGTGTATCACTCGGCTGTAGATCCCCAAATCATCTCTGAATTGGTGCTGACACTGTCCTTCCTTCTGGAGGGGGGCTACTTTTGTTCCCCATGGTCCCTGTGTGTGTGTTGTAAAGTAGTCACCACTCCGAGCTCACTCTTGTGATGGATTACAATCTCAATACAAATTAGTAAACTAAACATGAGATTGTAGTCCATCACGGGAGTGAGCTTGGAGCAGTGGCTACTTTACAACACAAAGGGACCATGGGGAACAAATGTAGCCACCCTCCATGGCCCATTGATAACATGTTTAGAAATTGGGCATCATTTTTGGTAGTATGTTTGTCATATGGGACAGCAATGAGGAGAGCCCGGATCTAGATGTGCTTGCAGTAGCGATGAGCGAAAATTAGAACTTTTATTAACTTGCAAAGTGCCTCTGAATTTGACAGCACATTTGACTTGTCAATTCCCTAGCACAGCCCCTTCCCTCCTTGCACGTCAAGAGTTCTCGCCTCTTGTAGGAGTTGGGCCTATAATGAGACAGCCTGAGGCAACCCTTTCTGGCAAGAGCATCCCAGGTTGCTAAGAGCCGTGTGGGGAGATGTGCAAGAGCCACACACCCTGCCCAGCTCTCAGCAACCTGGGAAGCTCTGGCCAACGTCCAGCTCCTGGCAACCAGTGACATCACTGGGTGGGACGCCGGCAAAGGCCAAAGCATGTACTACCACCAGCACCCCCCCACGAAAAGCTAGGGACACCCTAGGAGTGTCTAATTACTGTCTTTTTAAACGCCTCCACCCCTCACACCTTCCTACATAAACTATTATGTAGCAGCCGGGGAAGAAGTGAAGAAGAGGAATACTATAGAGCAGTGGTTCTCAACCTGTGTAACCTCAGGACCCACATTTGCCATTGGTCATTAAGTGTCGTGACCAAAGTCGCACTGTAATGGAACGCACGGCATTAGGGTACCACAAATTCCAGTGCGGGCATATGAACTGAGGTTGGGAGGTGGGTTTGGGGTGCAATGGCAATGCAACACACCTCCTGCATTAGAACAAGTGGTAGGTGCGATTGTGTGGTACAGTGCATTAATTGCACGGGACTGTGTGATTAATGCACTGTACTAATGTGAACGGTCCCAAAAAAACACTGACAGACACACACAACCACAGACATTCTCACACGCATACACATTCCAAAAATGTTAGTATTTTTTTTAAGGTCCACCCAGTCTCCCTTCCTTACGAGAACTGAAGTGGATCCTCAGCCTGGGTCCAGTGTGGGCTGCTGTGCTGTGACCGATCTCCATCCATATGTGCATTGCTTGTACAGCTTCCTTGAGTGCCATGTAGAGGTGCCGGAGCCAGAATGTGGTCATTAGGGAGAGGTGAGAGAGCTGTAAGCAATGCACATATGGATGGAGCTCCCTCCCGGCCATATCCCTTCCCACCTAAAGCTGACACTCGGCTCCGGGCAGCATATTTTGAATGGCTGATTGGCACAAGAACTAACAGTGCTGCACTAGGGGGAGGCAGAGAAGCCTTTCACCTAGAAATGTGGAAGACATGCAGGGACCCACTGAGCACGGGGTTGTGACCCACTTTTGGGTCACAACCCACTAGATGAGAACCAAGGCTATAGAGTGCCACTTGAGTGATGGCTCCAAGTCTGTTGGGGCTGCTGACATTACATCCAATATGATGTCGGCCAGCAGAAATCTCAGGGCTTTTGGAGGTCTACACAAAGGGGCCTTTGACAGTTAAATAACATGCCTTGAATATATTGACAGCACTTATAATCTAATGGTGATTGCTGTTGAAATGAATGGCCTGGTGACAGGGTGTCTTTAAAAAAAGCCTATGGCTACATAACCAACACTAACGGGAGCTTGGAGCAGCATTTTGTCCCAGAAACATTATTCAGCTCATCAAATCTTCATTTATCCATAACACTGGTTTATGCCAACATCTAGAGCAGGTCTGAATTAATGACATAAGCTCCTTAGTTATACCAATTAATGGAAAACTCCAGAGTGAAAATACCCAACGAACAAATCATTTCACAAGCACTTATGTTTATATTTTAGTGTTGATCCACCACAACTACACACTCTTTCTGTAAAAGCTAAAGGTTGTCTGGCGGGAACAAGACCCAGTGCAGAACTCAGGCTTACATACCGCTGAATTTTGCTCCCTGCCATATAAATACTAATTACCATTAGGAAAACAAAATGTGGTTATTTCACCGTACAATGCTGGACAGTGATGAATTTCCGCTTCCATGGATTGAGGAAGAAGGCTGAGGAGCCAGAGATAAATGAGATCAGTAATTAGTCCCCCGCAGCTCTGTACAGTACTGACTTGATAAATATGAAACAGTCTGTTCCTATTATTCCAGAATCGTTACAGGGCACTTGAAGATACATTTGTCACAGAGAGAGTGATTCTGGGCAATCACGAGTAGAGAGTCTTACCAGGAACTCATTCACACATCATGGTTCCCTGCTGAGATAACTTCTAAGTCTGCCCATGGAGCTGCATCCTTCACCTGCATCCTGCCGTGTGCGGTGCACATGTGTTGTTCTAATTCTGACATGTTTCATTCCAGCTTGACAGAGATCACAGTTATAACAGGCCATTGTCTAAATGGCTTATTAATAGTGGAAAGACTGAAGCTAGCCACGGTTGTTAAAGTGCAACTGAAGACAAAACTTTTTTTTTTTTTTTTTAGTTTTGGAAAGAGTGAAGAGTGACTAGAACACCTGTCCGGTTTTAAATGCCGTCTGTGTCCCCGGTAGGGAGATTTACCCTCTCTATTTGACCTGGTGAACGATATCACTTAAAAACAAAAGTAAATCCCACATTTTGGGTTGTCATCAAAACACTAAAAAAAAGATGGGAAATCTTCTAATGGAGACATTAGTTCTGGTGACCCTGCTGCCCACTAGGCATTTCCCTCACTTTCTGTTGTGGCTATCGGACAGGAAGTGAAGGGAAATCTCCCCAATGAGACACCGATAGCAAAAATGCTGAGAGGTGTAATAACCTTCCCTAGTTTTGGCTTCAGTTCTAATTTAGGGTCTGGACTCAAACTAGGGCTAAATTAGCAATAAGATAATTAATCCATCAGTGGGTCTATCGTCATAGGAGGGAACACAAATAAAAATCAGGAAAGCACACGGAGGGGGATTTATCAAGCAAGTTAGTGATATAATTGGGTACTTTAGTAATGCATATAAAGCTATTTTTCATTTGAAGCAGGGGAAGGCAACCTCGGCACTTGAGCTGTTGTGGAACTACAATTTTCAAGAGGTATTGCAGCTACAGAAATGACCCCAGAGGCAAGGTGGGATTTGTAGTTTCATCACTGCTGGAGTGCTAAGGTTGCCTACCCCCAATGTAGGGTGATACACACACACTAGGGGCAAAGGTTTGTGGACACTTCTCAACACACCTATGTAAGCTAGATAAACACCCCATTCGAAAAAAAACATGGACACATTATATATATATATATGT